TGGTAGGATTGCTGGTGTCTTCTTTCTGTCTCATAAACATGCAAGATTTCAGGTATGTCTTGATACTTCTACTTACACTTAGGTCACACTACACATAAATGCACACATTTATGTATACACACACATCTGAGTTTTTTTATGTATCTTAATAGTTCATGTTCTTAGTGCTTTTCATTTCGTATTCATGGGGAAGTGTAATAAGAATCTTTCCTCCATAAGCCATGTGAGTTGTAAAAGTTAACTAAAATGCTGGGAACAATGGGCTAGTATCCCCCTTTTCCCGTATAGCTTACTAAAAAGAAAAAGAAGAAAACTGTCAAAGTGGGATGTTTTAAATGTGCGTGGATGTTGTGCGAATGATAAGAAAGAGATGATTGTGGATGTTATGAATGAGACAAAGCTGGATGTCCTGGCTTTAAGTGAAACAAAGCTGAAGGGGGTAGGAGAGTTTCAGTGGGTAAAAATAAATGTGATTGGGTCAGGGGTTTCAAATAGAGTTAGAGCTAAAAAAAAGGAGTAGCAATAATGTTGAAGGATAAATTATAGCAGGAAAAGAGGGAATATAAATGTATAAATTCAAGGATTATGTGATGTTAAGTAAGGGTTGGATGTGAAAAGTGGGTTATAGTAAGTGTTTATGCACCTGGAGAAGAGAGAAATGTAGAGGAGAGAGAGATATTTTGGGAAATATTAAGTGAATGTGTGGGGAGTCTTGAACGAAGGGAGAGAGTACTTGTCGTTGGGGATCTCAATGCTAAAGTGGGTAAAAACGTTGTGGAGGAAGTAGGTAAATTTGGGGTGTCAGGGGTAAATGAAAATGGGGAGCCTTTAATTGATCTATGTGTAGAAAGAGTTTTGGTAATAAGTAATACATATTTTATGAAGAAGAGGATAAATAAATATACAAGGTATGATATAGCACGTAATGAAAGTAGTTTGTTAGATTATGTATTGGTGGATAAAAGGTTGATGGGTAGGCTCCAGGATGCACATGTTTATAGAGGGGCAACTGATATATCGGATCATTATTTAGTTGTAGCTACAGTTAGAGTAAGAGGTAGATGGGAAAAGAGGAAAATGGCAACAACAAGCAAGAGGGAGGTGAAAGTGTATAAACTAAGGGAGGAGGAAGTTCAGGTGAGATATAAGCAACTATTGGCAGAAAGGTGGGCTGGTGCAAGTATGAGTAGTGGGGGGGTTGAAGAGGGTTGGAATAGTTTTAAAAATGCAGTATTAGAATGCCAATATCCTGACCCAAAAAAGAAAGAAAATCCCCAAAAAGAAAATACTTTCATCATCATTCAACACTTTCACCACACTCGCACATTATCACTGTTTTTGCAGAGGTGCTCAGAATACAACAGTTTAGAAGCATACACATATAAAGATACACAACATATCCCTCCAAACTGCCAATATCCCAAACCCCTCCTTTAAAGTGCAGGCATTGTACTTACCATTTCCAGGACTCGAGTCCGGCTATATAAAAATAACTGGTTTCCCTGAATCCCTTCACTAAATATTACCCTGCTCACACTCCAACAGCTCGTCAGGTCCCAAATACCATTTGTCTCCATTCACTCCTATTGAACACACTCAGGCATGCCTGCTGGAAGTCCAAGCCCCTCGCCCACAAAACCTCCCTTACCCCTTCCTTCCAACCTTTTCAAGGGTGACCCCTACTCCGCCTTCATTCCCCTACAGATTTATACGCTCTCCATGTCATTCTACTTTGATCCATTCTCTCTAAATGAGCAAACCACCTCAGCCCCTCTTCAGCCCTCTGACTTATACTTTTATTAACTCCACACCTTCTAATTTCCACACTCCGAATGTTCTGCATAATACTTACACCACACATTGCCCTTAGACAGGACATCTCCACTGCCTCCAACCGCCTCCTTGCTGCTGCATTTTCAACCCAAGCTTCACATCCATATAAGAGTGTTGGTACTACTGTACTTTCATACATTCCCTTCTTTGCCTCCATAGATAACGTTTTTTGTCTCCACATATACCTCAACGCACCACTCACCTTTTTTCCCTCATCAGTTCTATGATTAACCTCATCCTTCATAAATCCATCTGCCGACACGTCAATTCCCAAATTTCACTAATATGTCTTCCATTTTATCAATTGAGTACAAGATACCACCCAATCAGCTATTTCAACTGCCCACTAAAGTCACGAGAAATTGGTAATTTGGCCAGTTTCACACAAATTTCAAAATATTCCAATATCAAAATAGGGTTCGGAATAAACAGTGCACTCATTCCTGGCACTAAAATAACATTTCCTCGGTTCATTAGTTATGTTCCCAGACTTTGCTCATAAATTCCATTTTGAATTTTTATTCAAAAAAAAAAAGCATGGGTGATGAATGTTGCAGCGAGGAGAAGGCTGGAGGCAGTGGAGATGTCATGTCTGAGGGCAATGTGTGGTGTGAATATAATGCAGAGAATTCATAGTTTGGAAGTTAGGAGGAGGTGCGGGATTACCAAAACTGTTGTCCAGAGGGCTGAGGAAGGGTTGTTGAGGTGGTTCGGACATGTAGGGAGAATGGAGCGAAACAGAGTGACTTCAAGAGTGTATCAGTCTGTAGTGGAAGGAAGGCGGGGTAGGGGTCAGCCTAGGAAAGGTTGGAGGGAGGGGGTAAAGGAGGTTTTGTGTGCGAGGGGCTTGGACTTCCAGCAGGCATGCGTGAGCGTGTTTGATAGGAGTAAATGGAGACAAATGGTTTTTAATACTTGACGTGCTGTTGGAGTGTGAGCAAAGTAACATTTATGAAGGGGTTCAGGGAAACCGGCAGGCCAGATTTGAGTCCTGGAGATGGGAAGTACAGTGCCTGCACTCTGAAGGAGGGGTGTTAATGTTGTAGTTTAAAAACTGTAGTGTAAAGCACCCTTCTGGCAAGACAGTGATGGAGTGAATGATGGTGAAAGTTTTTCTTTTTCGGGTCACCCTGCCTTGGTGGGAATCGGCCAGTGTGATAATAAAAAAAAAAAAAAAAAAAGTTAGATTTGCTGTTATGCAATATTGTAATAATTGTATAAATAATATCAGAGCATTTGCAAATGCAAATTAGGCCCACCAGTTAGATGTGTATTGCATGAATGACGTGATTTGTTTACTCTTGAATATTGGCAAAAATTGAGCATTTCTCCTAATTTGAGTTTAATTTTCAGTCCTGAAGCCACTCAGAATCATCTCTATTTCTGTAATATATCTTCCTAATGAGACCAAGAAACCGAGAATACAACCATAAAAACCATACAAAAATACACCTCAAAGTTGCTGTTTTAAACCAATAACACGGTTGCAGTTTTTTTTTTCTCATTATGCACTGCATACTGCAGGATTATTTTATATGGTGCACCCTTACTGCATAGACCCATTCTCTCTTATCTAGCCCAAATTTACTGCTCACTGCTTATGAGTGAACTGAGCTCATAGCATAGTACTACGGCACAGACAGTGACCTCAAACCCATAGTACTCCAGCATGGACAGTGAAAGGGTTAATCCAAATTATGGGAGTAAAACTATTCAGTTTTAAATAAATAGCAGTAATTATAAATATTGTAGGGTTATCATTTTCTCTTGAGAAATGTGCACTGGTATTTGAAGCACCTCATTATGAATGAGAAGTCTTTATTAACCCTTTGACTGTCGCAACCTCAAATCCTGAGGTGTCTCCTGGTGTCAAAAAATTAAAAAAAAAAAAAAAAATTTTTATTATGAAATGATAGAGAATCTTTTCCCGATGGTAATGACACTGAAAGAATGAAATCTGATGGAAAACTTACGGAATTACGCTCTCACGAAGTTAGCAACCTCGGCGATATATATGAATCGGCGATTTCACCCACTTTGAGCCTTATTTTCAGCTAATTCCATTGTTCCAGTTGACCAAACTCATAGCTATTTCAATTATCCAATAACGTGGTCAGAAATTTGCAATTTGGCCAATTTCACGCAAATTAAAAAATATGCCAGTTTCAAAATAGGGTCCAGAATGAACGATGTAGACATTCCTGGCTCTAAAATAACATTTTCTTTGTTCATCAGTCACATCTCCAGGCCCCTCTGATATTACTCTTGCTTTCTATTTTGAATTTGTATTCAAACAAAAAATAGAAGATTTACTGTTATGCAGACTACTGCAATATTGTAATAACTATATAAATAATGTCAACCCATTCATGACTGCATATTAGAATGGCTAGTTGGACATTTATTGGACAATGACATCATTTATTTACTTTTGAATATTGGCAAAAATCAAACATTTCCCCTACTTTGAGCTACATTTCAAGGTTCTTTTCATAGTAAAACCAGTAAAGATCACCTCTATTTCTATTGTATGTTTTCTATTCTGCCAAATGAGACCAAGAAAACGAGAATACAACCATAAAAACTATACGAAAATACACCACAAAGTCGGCGTTTTAATCCAAAAACATGGTCAGTTTTTTTTGTCTCATTATGCACTGTGTGCTGCAGGATTTTTTTTATATGGTGCACACTGACTACACAGACCCATTCTCTCACATGTGGGCCTACCAGCTTTCTTCTGCTTGATTTGAAGCTGCTAGAAATTTTGAGTATAAACACGTCAAACATGGTGGCTCGTAAGATGTATATATACGACTGAAACAGTCAAAGGGTTAAAAGTCAAAGTTTTGACTGGTATTTATTTATAACTTTTTTTGCTATGTATACTGTACATGAATTCTGTTGTATTTGTTTGGGATTATTTTTATTTAAATATTTTTAATTTGTATTTACAATAATTGTTTACATATTTAACTTAAGCATTTAGTGTAAGGGATAATATTTTCTTTATAGTTAAAGATGATTTTTAAGTGTTTTATAAATGCCACGATTCATATCTGAGCCCTTATAAATATATGATAGAGCTTAAATTCTTGTTTCATTGTCCTTTCCTATACTACATTGTTGTTCATTGCTGTTCACTGAATGTGCTATTTCTTTCCTAGACCCATTCTTGGTGCAGCAGTAATTCGTGAGGGCCAAGCTTGGTCTACTTTCTGGGGAGCTATTAATGAAGATGGCTTCTATGCCCGATCAATTGACTACATGGACATTGTTCACAACAGTAGAAGGTAAGTGAACATTTTGAACATCTTGCTAAACAGCTTAGTCATGCGATAGGTTGTTTTATGTGTGTATTGTAATGGTCGCTAATGATGCCTGAATGTGCTTACTTGGCCTTTAGCCACCTTCATTAATAACAAGTGTTGGGAATTTGTGTACTACTTACAGAAAGTGTAATGACTGTCATCTGAGTCTGATCAGTGTTGACACTTGTACTAGGTCTGAAGCTTAATATATAAATTATGGATACGAGTAGAGGACTCCTAGATGAGGTTAGCCTTGGGGCTACAAACTGGGATGTTTAATTAACGTAGTTTTGCAACACATAATAAGATTAGAGTTCCTCAACATAACCACAGAACAATAAGGAAGACAGGATGGAAGTACGGTAAGTGGCTCCAGTTTGCAGGTAAATAAGAGTACTTTGTAAACAAATGATTGTTTTCACAAGCTTTGCAACAAGCCAAATGGTTTGCTTGTATGTCATCTAGTAGACATGACCCCTGAAAGCATAAATTTAGGAAAATGTGATTGAAAAACATCAGTTGCATTTGATTTACTCTGAAAATACCTCATAAACACTGTAATACATGAAAGATATGAAAGAATAGCAAAATGTGTGCAAGAACTGGTGGGTAGGCAGTGGGTACGTTTCCACTCCTCATTCCTCATGAGGGAGGTTCCTAGAGGCTGGCGAGAGGCTCTTGTGCCAAAGAATTGGATTTTTCTTCTCCTTAACTGAATTGGTCCCAATTGCCTCCCATTTCCTAGGCACTGCAAGACCCCTACAGGTTTAGTGCTCCCCCTAAATATTATAATCCACTCCTTCCTAGGTAGTACATTGGTAGACAACAACCGTCCAGGGAGGTACTACTGTCCTGCCAAGTGAGTGTAAAATGGCTGTCTGTAATTGTTTTACATGATGGTAGGATTGCTGGTGTCTTTTTTCTGTCTCATACATATGCAAGACTTCAGGTACATCTTGCTACTTCTACTTATGTCACACTACACATACATGTACAAACAATTAGGTGAGTACACCCCTCTGGGTTTTCTTCTATTTTCTTACTAGTTCTTGCTTATTTCTTCTTATCTCCACAGGGAAGTGAAACAGAATTCTTCCTCCGTAAGCCATGTGTGCCGTAAGGGGCGACTAAAATGCTGGGAACAAGGGGCTAGTAACCCCTTCTCCTGTATATGTTACTAAATTTAAAAAGAGACTTTCGTTTTTCTTTTTGGGCCACCCTGCCTTGGTGGAATATGGCCAGTTTGTTGAAAGAAAGAAGAATCCACTCCTTGCTATCTTTGGCCCAGTGGGTGATTTCACTGTTTATTGGGGATGTCTGGCATCATGCTTTTGTTTGTGTCCCCATGCTGATGTTACTGACAATGACTTCAGTCTGTAGTGGAAGGAAGGCAGGGTAGGGGTCGGCCTAGGAAAGGTTGGAGGGAGGGGGTAAAGGAGGTTTCGTGTGCGAGGGGCTTGGACTTCCAGCAGGCATGCATGAGCGTGTTTGATAGGAGTGAATGGAGACAAATGGTTTTTAATACTTGACGTGCTGTTGGAGCATGAGCAAAGTAACATTTATGAAGGGATTCAGGGAAACCGGTAGGCCGGACTTGAGTCCTGGAGATGGGAAGTACAGTGCCTGAAGGAGGGGTGTTAATGTTGCAGTTTAAAAACTGTAGTGTAAAGCACCCTTCTGGCAAGACATTGATGGAGTGAATGATGGTGAAAGTTTTTCTTTTTCGGGCCACCCTGCCTTGGTGGGAATCGGCCAGTGTGTTAATAAAATAATATACAATACGCAATAGCTTTAAAATACTTGAAATTTTGGAAAGTTTCCAAACATAATAGATGTGGTGGGGCACGCTGTATTACAAATTTTGGTTATAATTTGACATCGCCATATTAGCGGAACCCTACTGTACTCTCTCACTTGGTTCAAAAGTCCTCGTGCATTCACTCAACATTTCCCAAAATATCTCTCTCCTTTACACCTCTGTCTTCTCCAGATGCATAAACACTTACTATAACCCACTTTTCACATCCATCCCTTATTTTGCTCCACATAATCCTTGAATTTGTACATTCATATTCCTTCTTTTCCTGCCATAACTTATCCTTCAACATCATTGCTACTCTTTCCTTAGCTCTGTTAGAAACCCCTGACCTACTCCCATTAATTTCTCCCCACTGAAACTCTCCTACCTCTTTCAGCTTTGTTTCACTTAGAACCAGGACGTGTATGCATATATTAGTCCAGTGTTGGACTTAAAATAATTATCAGTTGTTGGATGAGTAATTTATTTTTAATGTAATAGTTGGTAGACTTATCAGGTATTTAATTTTTTTCTACCATGTGACTTATTTCTTGTGTAGTCTGTAAAATTTTATCAATTTGGTAACTAGAAGATTTTTGGTTTGAACCTATGAGATGGTTTGCTTACAACAGGCTTTACTTTGAAAATGCACTAGAGGAAAGTATGTTTTAAAGACTGCAATAGTGAAAATAATCTGTGATAGTGTAATCAGGATACCTACTGGAGAAATAGAACTGCTGTTGTCTCAGTGTACTGTAGTCTCTTGTTTTGTCACTTGGTAACACTGTCATTTTTAACTACATTTGTGTAGCCAAGACTATTCAACCTGCTACCAGATGATAGCAGAAACATTGCCAAAACAAGTGTGGAAGTTTTCAAGAGGAATGTGAATTATTACCCTGCCAGGTTATTATAGATATGTGGACCAGCAATAGCAGCATTCTTCTTGAATGAGCAGTCAAAAGAAAAGCCTGGCTCCAAATTGGGCTGTGAGATTTGAAAAATTTGGTGTTGTCTTAATTGTTTGAGCCTTCTATTTCTCACACGCATGCAAAAACATGTACCCCAGTCCCAGGGTCTAACACTACCATCCACTTGTTTAGCCACCGTCTTCCTCAGCTCACTCTCACTTGTAGAGCAGGTACCCAAAATTTTCTTTAGTTTCTTATACTTTTTTTTTATTATGCTCATTCGCTATCGGCATGACCAGTTCATACTTGCCAGTGGTAGCTGTTTAAGCTTGCATCTGTTAACAGTAACTTTTCATAAAGTCAATTTGCCAAACATTTTCAGTCTAACCATTGCATTTTTAATGTCTTCTTGCACAATGACTAACAGTATCTTTAGAAATAAATTTTTGTTAAAGTGGAAAAAAACTGCTAGCACTGTTTGTCAGGAAGATGTGTGAATTTAATAATTCCTTGTTAATGTGCATCAAAAGCTTTCTGGTTATAGGATGGTAGGTACTGGAGGGTAGTTAATTTATCAGTTCAAGCATGAAACTAAAATTGTGATGGAGAACATGTTGACAGGTGAAAAATTCTTAATAAGAAAATAAGACAGAATATTTGGAGAAACGATGAAGATTAGATTAAAGAATGGGTGAAGTATCATCAACAAATATGGATGAAAATATGATGAGAGAGAATTAAAAGGAGAATACCAATCAAGCAAAAAATTTGCCTATTTAAGAGTGAAAGTGGGGAGCTGATGGATATGAAGGTGGAGGTCCCATTCCCTGGACCTCTACCTTCTATTCCCCAGCATGGGTAATCTTGTGGATTGAAGCACAAAAATTAAGGTTTAGAGGCCAGAAGTACGAGACCTATGCTTAGTAAGTTGCCCGGGGATGTCAGTATTGTATGAGTCATCATTGGATCATGATATATGTTCCCTTCTGGAAAGACAACACTTGATGAGGAAATGATGGTTAAAGGGCTTTTTTTGTTTTGTTGCCTTTCTTTCATGGGAAACTGCTGCAGTGTTCATTTTTTTTTTTACCGAGAGTGCTTCCTTTTGATCACAGTTATATTTATATTTTATAAACAACATTGTATCAAGCTGAATGTTTCTTATCAAAGCTCCCAGTCAAGACGATATTTGTCTACTAATTATGACAAAATATTTCGTTGAGTAATGTAGCTTCTTTCTTCCTCCAAGAAACTTGCCTCTACTGTATAAACATCTTGAAAATGGAAAGCCTCTGTAGTCCATCTAAGCTCAAAACTCTTGCAACTTTTATTTTAATAATTTTGAAAAATCTCTTGGAAATTATTTCTCAGTGCCATTTTAAAATACACTTGACTTTTGACATAGGAATGCTTACGATTGAGTCATTAGTCATCTCAGTTTAAACTTTGCTTCTACACATTAAGTGTACTCAAAAAAAAAAAAAAAAAATTTTTTTTCATCAGTTACATAAGAAAGAAGGAACACTACAACAGGCCTACTGACCCATGTGGAGCAGGTCCATGTCCACCCCCCTCCCCGGATTAGCCCAATGACCCACCAAGTCTGGTCACTTCCACTTAAGGAGAGCCTAATAGCACAAGCTAGTCAGGTCCACCCATGTATTTATCTAACCTAGTTTTAAAACTACACAATGTTTTGGCCTCTATAACTGTACTCAGGAGTTTGTTCCACTCATCCACAACTCTATCCTTCCTGAATCTGAATTTTTCCAACTTGAAACCATTGCTACGAGTCCTGTCTTGGCTGGAAATTTTCAGCACGCTACTTACATTCCCTTCATTTATTCCTGTTTTCCATTTATACACCTCGATCATATCCCCCCTAATTCTACGCCTTTCGAGAGTGCAGATTCAGGGCCCTCAGTCTATTTTGTTACATGTCTGTATTACTGCTCTCAACACTTATACCCAATGTTAAAACAATCTTTATTTAGTTGGCTTAAGTTGGATTATGTCACTGGCTTTGTGATATTTGGTAGTATGCAACCCTTCTTCATATTCAACAGTATTTCTATCAGTGGCATTTTATATTTTACTGTGGATGAATAAGACAGGTGTAACACCTGGGTATCTTTGTTGAGAGACCACTTGCCCACCAGGGGCTTTATCAATTGAATACAGATGCAGGAGAATGGATTCTCTAATAATGGAACCAGTGGAAGAGGTGAAGCAGCATTAGACGTGGTCACATGTAGAAGGGGCACAGTAGTGGAAGCATTTCATTGACAAAGCCTCTGTGGGCAAAACATCTTCCAGTAAAGTTGTTACATGATTTATTCATCAACTTGTTAGTACATATATTATATACCTTTGATCAGTTTGCTGTTTCTTTTTATATTTGGCATGGTTTGGAATTTTAGAAAATAGCCAATACTGTACAGAAAAAAATTAACAAGCTATGTCCTTTTTCTCAACTGCATACACTGTAGACACAATCACATGTCCACTTTGTTTACTCTGTGTAATTAGTTAATTATTCAGTACTGTATATTATACAGTTTTGTTATTTTGTTGTGTTTAAGTTAATTAATTTTCTTTAATCAGGGGCTGTATGACTCCTAATGGTTTAGTGCTTCCCCTTATGTTTTCTTTAATAGCACTAAAAAGAAACTTCGGTTTTAGTACTCGCTTAACTACTTTATGAATCATTAGTACTTGGTTGAAATGTCATACATACCAACATGCTTCTCCCTCATACTTTATTCCTTGCAACCTTGACATTCATCATAAACATTTTCCTCTCTATAATAACCTGCATTTTTATAGAAAGTTGCTGTTTTTTTCTTTACTGAATGCATGGCAGGCTCTGAGTATGCATCTTATTTTGCTGCTTTTACAAACAGAATACAGATTTTGGCAATGACAAAAAACTCATTACAACATTTGCTAAGAATTTTTCATAGAAGGGATGATATTTAACACAATTTGCATTTTGATTACTGTATATCTGCTTTCAGAATAATACCGAAAGTATATTGTACAGTTATTTAGTTTTTGAATGAAAAAAGACATGCTACACAAACTAATTTTTCAATATATGAAGTGAACTGGTTCTCTATGGCTAATATAACTTGGGATAAATATGTACTGCATTATGCAGAGTGAATGCTGTTGTTTTTCACTGTCTGCTCTGATTTTAACTTACTCAAGACACTTTAAACAAGCTCATATTATTCACTGAGAAGTTATCCACCACTGGATACCTTGTTTACATTAGGTTCATCCTGTTCATAACGGAAGTTATGCCTTATACACAAGCTAATTCTTACTGTCTCTCAAGACAATAGTGGTGCATATGTAGTAGGTTGGTAGACAGCAACCACCCAGGGAAGTACTACCGTCCTGCCAGATGACTGTGAAACAAAAACCTGTAACTGTTTTGCATGATGGTAGGATTGCTGGTTTCTTTTTCTGTCTCATAAACACGCTAAGATAACAGGGATATCTTGCTACTCCTACTTACACTTTGGTCACACTTCACAGACACGCACATGCATATATATATATACATACATCTAGGTTTTTCTCCTTTTTCTAAATAGCTCTTGTTCTTTTTTATTTCTTCTATTGTCCATGGGAAGTGGGAAAAAAATCTTTCCTCCGTAAGCCATGCGTGTCGTATGAGGCGACTAAAATGCCGGGAGCAATGGGCTAGTAACCCCTTCTCCTGTATACAATTACAAAAAAGAGAAGAAGAAAAACTTTATAAAACTGGGTTGCTTAAATGTGCGTGGATGTAGTGCGGATGACAAGAAACAGATGATTGCTGATGTTATGAATGAAAAGAAGTTGGATGTCCTGGCCCTAAGCGAAACAAAGCTGAAGGGGTAGGAGAGTTTCAGTGGGGGGAAATAAATGGGATTAAATCTGGAGTATCTGAGAGAGTTAGAGCAAAGGAAGGGGTAGCAGTAATGTTAAATGATCAGTTATGGAAGGAGAAAAGAGAATATGAATGTGTAAATTCAAGAATTATGTGGATTAAAGTAAAGGTTGGATGCGAGAAGTGGGTCATAATAAGCGTGTATGCACCTGGAGAAGAGAGGAATGCAGAGGAGAGAGAGAGATTTTGGGAGATGTTAAGTGAATGTATAGGAGCCTTTGAACCAAGTGAGAGAGTAATTGTGGTAGGGGACTTGAATGCTAAAGTAGGAGAAACTTTTAGAGAGGGTGTGGTAGGTAAGTTTGGGGTGCCAGGTGTAAATGATAATGGGAGCCCTTTGATTGAACTTTGTATAGAAAGGGGTTTAGTATAGGTAATACATATTTTAAGAAAAAGAGGATAAATAAGTATACACGATATGATGTAGGGCGAAATGACAGTAGTTTGTTGGATTATGTATTGGTAGATAAAAGACTGTTGAGTAGACTTCAGGATGTACATGTTTATAGAGGGGCCACAGATATATCAGATCACTTTCTAGTTGTAGCTACACTGAGAGTAAAAGGTAGATGGGATACAAGGAGAATAGAAGCATCAGGGAAGAGAGAGGTGAAGGTTTATAAACTAAAAGAGGAGGCAGTTAGGGTAAGATATAAACAGCTTTTGGAGGATAGATGGGCTAATGAGAGCATAGGCAATGGGGTCGAAGAGGTATGGGGTAGGTTTAAAAATGTAGTGTTAGAGTGTTCAGCAGAAGTTTGTGGTTACAGGAAAGTGGGTGCAGGAGGGAAGAGGAGCGATTGGTGGAATGATGATGTAAAAAGAGTAGTAAGGGAGAAAAAGTTAGCATATGAGAAGTTTTTACAAAGTAGAAGTGATGCAAGGAGGGAAGAGTATATGGAGAAAAAGAGAGAAGTTAAGAGAGTGGTGAAGCAATGTAAAAAGAGAGCAAATGAGAGAGTGGGTGAGATGTTATCAACAAATTTTGTTGAAAATAAGAAAAAGTTTTGGAGTGAGATTAACAAGTTAAGAAAGCCTAGAGAACAAATGGATTTTGTCAGTTAAAAATAGGAGAGGAGAGTTATTAAATGGAGAGTTAGACGTATTGGAAGATGGAGGGAATATTTTGAGGAATTGTTAAATGTTGATGAAGATAGGGAAGCTGTGATTTCGTGTATAGGGCAAGGAGGAATAACATCTTGTAGGAGTGAGGAAGAGCCAGTTGTGAGTGTGGGGGAAGTTCGTGAGGCAGTAGGTAAAATGAAAGGGGGTAAGGCAGCCGGATTGATGGGATAAAGATAGAAATGTTAAAAGCAGGTGGGGATATAGTTTTGGAGTGGTTGGTGCAATTATTTAATAAATGTATGGAAGAGGGTAAGGTACCTAGGGATTGGCAGAGAGCATGCATAGTTCCTTTGTATAAAGGCAAAGGGGATAAAAGAGAGTGCAAAAATTATAGGGGGATAAGTCTGTTGAGTGTACCTGGTAAAGTGTATGGTAGAGTTATAATTGAAAGAATTAAGAGTAAGACGGAGAATAGGATAGCAGATGAACAAGGAGGCTTTAGGAAAGGTAGGGGGTGTGTGGACCAGGTGTTTACAGTGAAACATATAAGTGAACAGTAATTTAGATAAGGCTAAAGAGGTCTTTGTGGCATTTATGGATTTGGAAAAGGCGTATGACAGGGTGGATAGGGGGGCAATGTGGCAGATGTTGCAAGTGTATGGTGTAGGAGGTAGGTTACTGAAAGCAGTGAAGAGTTTTTAAACGAGGATAGTGAGGCTCAAGTTAGAGTATGTAGGAAAGAGGGAAATTTTTTCCCAGTAAAAGTAGGCCTTAGACAAGGATGTGTGATGTCACCGTGGTTGTTTAATATATTTATAGATGGGGTTGTAAGAGAAGTAAATGCGAGGGTCTTGGCAAGAGGCGTGAGTTAAAAGATAAAGAATCACACACAAAGTGGGAGTTGTCACAGCTGCTCTTTGCTGATGACAACTGTGCTCTTGGAGATTCTGAAGAGAAGTTGCAGAGATTGGTGGATGAATTTGGTAGGGTGTGCAAAAGAAGAAAATTAAAGGTGAATACAGGAAAGAGTAAGGTTATGAGGATAACAAAAAGATTAGGTGATGAAAGATTGAATATCAGATTGGAGGGAAGAGTATGGAGGAGGTGAACGTATTCAGATATTTGGGAGTGGACGTGTCAGCGGATGGGTCTATGAAAGATGAGGTGAATCATAGAATTGATGAGGGAAAAAGAGTGAGTGGTGCACTTAGGAGTCTGTGGAGACAAAGAACTTTGTCCTTGGAGGCAAAGAGGGGAATGTATGAGAGTATAGTTTTAACCAACGCTCTTATATGGGTGTGAAGCGTGGGTGATGAATGTTGCAGCGAGGAGAAGGCTGGAGGCAGTGGAGATGTCATGTCTGAGGGCAATGTGTGTGTGAATATAATGCAGAGAATTCGTAGTTTGGAAGTTAGGAGGAGGTGCGGGATTCCCAAAAAAACTGTTGTCCAGAGGGCTGAGGAAGGGTTGTTTGAGGTGGTTCGGACATGTAGAGAGAATGGAGCGAAACAGAATGACTTCAAGAGTGTTATCAGTCTGTAGTGGAAGGAAGGCGGGGTAGGGGTCGGCCTAGGAAGGGTTGGAGGGAGGGGGTAAAGGAGGTTTTGTGTGCGAGGGGCTTGGACTTCCAGCAGGCATGCGTGAGCGTGTTTGATAGGAGTGAATGGAGACAAATGGTTTTTAATACTTGACGTGCTGTTGGAGTGTGAGCAAAGTAACATTTATGAAGGGATTCAGGGAAACCGGCAGGCCGGACTTGAGTCCTGGAGATGGGAAGTACAGTGCCTGCACTCTGAAGGAGGGGTGTTAATGTTGCAGTTTAAAAACTGTAGTGTAAAGCACCCTTCTGGCAAGACAGTGATGGAGTGAATGATGGTGAAAGTTTTTCTTTTTCGGGCCACCCTGCCTTGGTGGGAATCGGCCAGTGTGATAATAAAAAAAAAAAAAAAAAAAAAATAAAAAATATGTTTAACTGTTTGACAATTTTATAAATTATCATGAATTAGTCAGTTTTAACTATTTGTTGAACTGTGCGATGTAGGTGGTACGGAAGGCTTTGGTGTCCACTGCATACTTGTTGTTCGCATGGCATTCGTAGATACCAGCATCTGCTTGGGTTGCCGGGTCAATTTCCATTTTGCTCTTCAGGTGGTCACCCTTCTTCCACTCGTGCAGCTGCAAGAAATGCTGAACGTTAGTTCTTCATATTTCAAGAAATGTTCCTGCATATATATAGAGTTTTGACTTACCTTTTTATTCAGAATTTCTGTTCATGGGAAAGGGATGCTGTGAAACTGGTGAGAGGCTCTTGATATAAGGAATTTTAGCTGTGCTCTCCATTTTTTAGAATCGAGCCTGATTACCACCTACAACTCCCCCCCTCCCCCTCCCCTTGTACTATATGACTTATGGGTTTAGCACTTGTTATATTTATAACAAAAATTTGTAAGGAAGGAAATGAGTTTTCGGAGAATTGGTAGGCATATGACCTCATTAACGTCTATTAACTTGAGCATACTTGATAATTTTTGTTTATTGCTACGAAAATTACCCTATGAAGATTTCAATTACAGTAGGGCCCTGCTTATATGGTGGGTGAGGTTTCAGGCTACCACTGTAAAGCAAATCACTTTTTTTTTCTATTTTAAATGCATGTAAATTCCTGATAACATGTAAGTTTATTTAGGTATAGGTACACATAAGTACAATTATCAGGTAGTATCTCAGTACCATCTCAGCCATATACATACCTGGCTCACTGAGTTTAATCATTTCTAACTTTGCACTTAAAGTAAGAGCATTACGACTCCTCTTTTTATCACAACTACCATTAGATGTCATTGTAACACAAAACAAATAATGTATATATATACACAACTTTAAAACACTTGAAACTTTGGAAAGTTTCCATATATAATTGAGAGAGATGGGGAACTCACAGATTATGTAAACAGAGTGGTGTATGGACGTTGGCACCATAATAGCGAATCGAGCCGTATAAAGAAATTTTTGGGTATAATTTGAAATGTCTGTATTAGTGAAGCACCATAAAGCAGGGCCTGCCTGTATTACAATACACTTTTAACTATTACAAAAAGCATAAGAGGGCATTGGATTGAATTAGGAATGAAACTGAATATAGTAGAGCACTATAATCACTACAGCACTGGTGAGGAACTTGTTAAGGAACTTGTTAGGATGGAGTTATAGGAAGGATATTTGATGTGCAACACTTCATTATGAAATACTGTTTGGAACATTTGTTTATAATTTTATATTGTATTAACACATCAGCCATCTCCCACCAAGGCAGGGTGGCCCAAAAAAGAAAAACTTTCATCGTTCACTCCATCACTGTCTTGCCAAAGGCACGCTTATACTGGAGTTATAAAATTGCAACATTACCACCCCTCCTTTAGAATGCAGACACTGTACTTCCCATCTCCAGGACTCAAGTCCGGCCTGCTGGTTTCCCTGAATCCCTTCATAAATGTTACCTTGCTCACACCCCCAACAGCACATCAAGTCCTAAAAACCATTTGTCTCTATTCATTCCTGTCTAACACATTCACGCAGGCTTGCTGGAAGTCCAAGCCCCTTGCTTACAAGACCTCCTATACCCCCTCCCTCCAGCCTTTCCTAGGCTGACCCCTACCCTGCCTTCCCTCCACTACAGATTTATACGCTCTCAGTCATTGTATTTTGTTCCATCCTCTCTACATGTCTGAACCACCTCAACAATCCCTCCTCAGTCCTCTGGATAATAGTTTTGGTAATCCAGCACCTCCTAATTTCCAAACTACGAATTCTGTTCATTATATTCACATTGCTCTCAAACATGACATCTCCACTGCCTCCAGCCTTCTTGTTGCAACATTCACCACCCATGTTTCTCACCCATATAAGAGCACTGATATAACTATACTCTCTTACATTCCCCTCTTTACTTCCATGGACAGAGTTCTTTGTTTCCACAGACTTAAGTGCACCATTCACCTTTTTCCCCTCATCAGTTCAATAATTCACCTTATCCTTCATAGACCCATTCGCTTGCTTTACAGTTCAGGATTTCTCTTGTTATGGATCCCATAAATCCATGAATACAAAGGATTGGATACTGAACTGAATTTGCCACTATTAACTGGTTTATTGTGGTGCTTTTGACACTTGCTTCAGGAAGATCCTTCAAGGAGAAAATGCCACGGTATAAAAATGCAGTTGTCTGCCCGTTTCAGAAATGTTTGATTAAAAATTTTGAATGACCTCTAGCTTAGGTCTTACCTCTGGCTATTATTGAATCATTCTTACATTGTATGTTGTGTCTGACTTGCAGATTTGTCTTGAACTTACAAGGTAGACTTTGAAACAGTATTTCAATTAATAAAACATCATCATTTTGTGTTTTGCTTCTTTTAAAGCCAATAACAAATTATTCTAATTCTTTCAACAAACCAGCCATGTACCACCAAGGCAGGGTGGCCCAACAAGGGAAACAAAACTCACTCTTTTTAACTTTAGTAATGTATACAGGAGAAGGGGTTACTAGCCCCTTGCTCCTGGCATGTTAGTGGCCTCTTACAACATGCATGGCTTATGGAGGAAGAATTCTGTTCCACTTCTCCATGGAGATAAGAGGAAACAAACAAGAACAAGAACTAGTAAGAAAATAAAGAAAACCAAGAGGGGTGTGTATATATATGCTTGTACATGCATGTGTAGTGTGATCTAAGTGTAAGTAGAAGTCACAAGATGTACCTGAAACCTTGCATGTTTATGAGAGAAAAAAAAGACACCAGCGATCTTAACATAATGCAAAACAATTACATACAGGCTTCCATTTTACATTCACTTGGCAGGACGGTAGTACCTCCCTGGGTGGTTGCTACCTACTACCTAAATAACGTAAATTGTTTACCTTAATCTTTGAGTTAGCATATGCAAGAGGTCCATTATTCATGCTAAAGAACATCAGTAATGAACTAAATTCACTCGCATTTTTGTTCTTTAAATTTTGGTTACTTTATGCTTAGGCTTTTTTTCTCTCTTGGATTCTGCAATAGAGAAGCATCCCCATCCTTGTCACTTATAGACTTGTGTCATTAGGGGAAAATCCAGTAGTGAAAACACATTTCTTAGCTGATTGTTCACAAAGCCCAGGAACAGTATTAGTCTTAACAATCTTAAGCAAGCCATTCATGTTGGGAGGCAGTTGAACAGTCTTGGGCCCTGGACACTTAATGTGTTGTCTCAATGTATTCGTGGTGTCCCTGCTTTTCATTGGGGAATGTTGCATCTTCTGCCGAGTCTTTTGCTTTCATAGGGAGTGATTTTCGTGTGCAAGTTTGGTACCAATCCCTCCAGGACCTTCCAAGTGTATATTGAAAAATTTAGACACGTGCAACATCTTCGTATCTTTATTGTAGGCGTTTTGCCAACCAGTGGCTTTATCAATACAAATTCTAGGACCACGGTGCTCTTAACACCGCCTTCAAGGCTGAGGGACTGATTACCTCATCTTTTGTATATAGTTCTACAGTCTTCTAATCATGTCCTACAATTTGTATTGATAAAGCCACTAGTTGGCAAAATGTCTACAATAAAGATACCCCAGATGTTGCACATGTGTCTTAAATTTTTCAACTTGTCAGTATTGTATACCATTCATGTACATGTATACCATTCATGTATCTCTCTCGCCTGCATTCAGTGGAATACAGATCAAGGACCTTCAACCATTCCCAGTAGTTTAGGTGCCTTATCGTACTTGCGTGTGCCACGAAAGTTCTTTGTACACTCTTCAGGTCTGCAATGTCGCCAGCCTTGATGGGGGCCATTAGTGCACAGGAGTATTGCAGCCTAGAGAGCACAAGCGATTTGAAGAGAATCATCATTGGCTTGGCATGGCATCCCTAGTTTTGAAGGTTCTCATTGTCCATCCTATCATTTTCCTAGCAGATGAGGTAGATACATTGTTGTGGTCTTTGAAGGTTAGATCCTCTTACATTATCACTCCCAGGTCCTTCACATTACTTTTTCACTCTTTTGTATGGTTAGAATTTGTCGTATACCCTGATAGTTTTAATTTCCTCAAGTTTTCCATATCTGAGTAGTTGAAATTTCTCTTCACTGAACTTCATATTGATGATTGGAAAGGAATCTTATGCGACCAGATTTTTATCTCATTCATAAGTAGTGGAATAGGATTTCCTTACTTGAAACATGTGTTAGAGATATTTTTTTGTCATTCATAAGTCATCATTGCCTTGTATAACACATTTGATCACTTGACATAACTAATGTGGAATTACCTGAACATTAATCTCCATATTCTGTTTTTCATTCCTCTTGTTGAGCAGTGATAAATTTTGTCTTCCAAGCCATGGGTATACAGTGGAACCTCTACTTGCGAGTTTAATCCATTCCATGACCTTGCTCACAACTGGATTTGCTCGTTTGCAGATTTTAAATTTTTTCCTCATTAAATTAATTAAATGCAATTAATCTGTTTCAGGGGAAATTTTCTGTACTTCAAAATTTTGATAGTATCAACTCTATGGCTTATTTATCCATCTCACGTCATCTAATATGACAAACAATATAAATAACATAGAAACATGATATATACTCTAGAATGAATAAAATGTAACAGGTGGAGGCAGCCACAACCGCCCCTTTTTGTTGTGGTAAAAAATGCCTCTAGTGATGGACTTTGAAGCTGCTATTATAATTTTTTTATGTATAAAATTATTTTATATTTATTATTATTTACAGTACATCTTATTATTATAATAATTTTTTTTTTTTTTCAAAAAGTCTGCCGTCTCCCACCGAGGAGGGTGACCCCAAAAAAAAAAAAATACTTTATCTCATTCAACACTTCACCCCACTCGCACATTACACTGTTTTTTTCAAAGGGGCCAGAAACCAGTTTGAACAACACATATAAAGATACACAACTTCCCTCCAAAAGCCAAAATCCCAAACCCCCCCTTTAAAATGCAGGCATTTTACTTCCCCCTTCCAGGACCGAGCCGACATATGAAAAAAACCCTTTTTCCCCCGAATCCCTTCACCCAAAATTACCCTGCTCACATCCAACAGATGTCAGGTCCCAAGTACCCTTTTGTCTCCATTCACTCCTATCTAACACGCTCGTGCACGCTTTCTGGGAAGTC